GGGGGGGGGGCTGCAAAAGCTGGGCATCGGGGGAAGTTCGCGGCTGAATGTTTAGATCACAAGAGAAAAAAAAATCTCAAATCAGCAGCCTCAGTTTCTACCTTAAGAAACGACATTAAGAAGAGCAGCTTAAAACCAAGACAAGCCAAAGAAACAAAATAATACACATCGGACAGGAATTTACCCAAACGGGAGAACAGAGAAATCAATGAAACCAAAGCAACTCCTTCAAGAAAATCAGTAACATTGACCCACCTTCGCCCAGGATGGGAGACAAATTTCCAAAATCAGAAACGGGAGGGGAGGCATCTCCACGGACTCGACGGAGCGCTTAGGGTGGCGGGAGACACTGCGAACAACTCAACCGTAGGGACTTTGACAACAACTCAGATGAAAGGGGCAGGTCCCGGCCCGGCCGGTGCGGCTCCGCAGCTGAGCTTCGGCCCTGACCCTACAGGCCTCTGGCTCGGTCCCAGGTCAGGACGACCCCGGGGACCCCAGCAGGGGTGGGCAGGAGGCCGCCGACCGCGTTCCCAGCCCTCTTCCTCTCCCTCCTCTTTCTCTAACATCAGTATATTTATTTTTTTTAAGCAAATAAATAGGTTCCTTGGAAAATAAAATAACAACAAATCAAAGCTTCTTCAGGAAAGAAAAAAACGCAGGTAACCCGAGGGGTCCTATTTGAAGTTAAATACGTAGTTAATTTGTAGTTAAAAACGTCCACAAACAGAGCCCCTTGCCCAGGTGCACCCCCTACGCTCGATGACACACGCGAGAGAGAAACGACACCAGTTCTGCGCAGACTCCCCCAGAAAACCGCGCAGAGGAAACACCCCCGAGCTCCTCTGTGGGACGAGCAGCAGTTACCCCGACATCACAGACACACAGGAAGCCCGGGAACAGCGTCCCTCAGGGGCACAGACGAGAAAATCCTAAATAAAATCTCAGCGAATCAAAGCCGACGATGCATCAACACGACCCACACCCGCCGCGCCGGGCCGTCCGGGGAAGCGAGGTTGTCCTCACACCCTTCAGACGTCAGGCAGCTCGCAGCAGCGCCGCCTAAAACGGAAAAACCTCGCGACCGTCCCAACAGACGCAACCAAACGCTGGACAAGAGCCAACATCCGTTTCCGACAGAAACGCCGCAAAACCGGAATAAAAGGAAACGTCCTCAACTTGTTAAAAAGTATCCAAAACACGGTGGCGCTGAGGTCACGCCGAGTGAGGACTGACGCTCTCCAGCGAGGATCATGACGGGACAGAAGGGCCGGCTCAGGCCGGCGCCACCAGGGGCCGTGAGGACCCGTGACGTCTGCGGCGGGCGTCCGACAGCCAGATGGGCTCCCGAGGCCCCACCGCACCGGCTGGGCCGGCACCGGAGGTTCCTCGTCTGCAAACCCAGCACTCGGCCCCGGGAAACCAGCCAGAGAACAGCGCACCGGCGGGGGGACTGGGCTAGCCCACGTCTGTCTGTCCGGGCCGCAGCCCCGGGTGGGGCCCCAGAGTCTGTCTGTCCAGGCCACAGCCCCGGGTGGGGCCCCAGAGTCTGTCTGTCCGGGCCGCAGCCCCCAGGGGCCCCGAGTCTGTCTGTCCGGGCCGCAGCCCCCGTGGGCCCAGAGTCTGTCTGTCCAGGCCGCAGCTCCCCGTGGGGCCCAGAGTCTGTCTGTCCGGGCCGCAGCCGTGGGCCCAGAGTCTGTCTGTCCGGGCCGCAGCCCCCGGGGGCCCCGAGTCTGTCTGTCCGGGCCGCAGCCCCCGTGGGCCCAGAGTCTGTCTGTCCGGGCCGCAGCCCCCGTGGGCCCAGAGTCTGTCTGTCCAGGCCGCAGCTCCCCGTGGGGCCCAGAGTCTGTCTGTCCGGGCCGCAGCCGTGGGCCCAGAGTCTGTCTGTCCGGGCCGCAGCCCCCGGGGGCCCCGAGTCTGTCTGTCCGGGCCGCAGCCCCCGTGGGCCCAGAGTCTGTCTGTCCAGGCCGCAGCTCCCCGTGGGGCCCAGAGTCTGTCTGTCCGGGCCGCAGCCGTGGGCCCAGAGTCTGTNGGGGGGGGGGGGCCGCTGCAGAGTGACCTGTGGGGAGGCCCAGGGCTCCACAGGCCACATCAAACTACAGGCAGATTTTACGGGATGTTAAGTTGTGACTCTGTCCACCGATAAAAACAAAACAACTAAATGTGTGGACACCGAGATCAGACCAAAAGGTCAGGCGTCCTCACCCCCTCCCAGCCAGTGACAGACGAACCAAACTCAACTCCAGCCAGGCTGAGGGACACGGGACAGTGAGGCCCCGAGGCCCTGGGGGAGACGACCCACAGAGGCTGGGACAGTGTCAGGGGTTCCGGGCAGGCGCAGGGATGGGCCTCCCCCAGGGTCATGTCCTGAATCCACAGAAGCCCGATGAGCAGGACAGAAACGGGAGGGCAGGACCGGGCGGCACCGGGAGGGCCAGAGCCACACCGGAAGCCAGGTGTCAGAGCCGGGCCTCCCCTAACGAGACGGAGGCTCTGAACTCCGTCCCGTTGCTGGCAAGGACCAGGACCCAGCAAGCCTGGCCAAGAAACAGCAGGCCAGGGCCACAGTTCAGGAGCACGCCCCACAGGGAGCGCCTGCGCCCCGTCACCTGCCCCAGGAAGACGGGTGCACGTGGCTCCCCCTCGAGGGGACTCGGCTGGGTTTATACCCACTCTCGCCGGTCGTCTCCCTGCCCGTCTCGTCCAGCCACGCTCTGGAGGTCATTTCTTCCCATATAACTAACGCCCACCTGGCCGTGCCTGGGACCACCGCAGACAAAGAAACGCAGACAAAGTTCCCAGGGGGCGGCCATGGAGACCACAGGTCGCGTGGGATTCCCCACCCAGCCCCTCTCCTGGCGGGTGGGCTCCCTGCAGCCCTGGCACAGGTGACGGACTGGCCAGGATGGCACAGGCCTGCAGGGGCTCCTGGGCAGCATGGGGCCCAGCGTCCGAGCTGATGCGACCGGTCCCCGGGGGCACTCACGTGATGGTGTCGATCATGTCCAGGCCCATCTCCACGCAGCAGTGGGCGTGGTCGGTCTTGGGCTGGGTGAGGCCGGACACGCAGTAGTAACAGTCCCCCAGGATCTTGATGCGACGGCAGTGGTTCTCCTTTGGGAAAGCGGCACGTTGGTGACGCGCTGGGGCCGGCGCCTGCCCCTTCCAGACCACCAGGTGCTGGAGGCCGCAGGCCATGGGGCACGACTCGCACCAGGGCCCCAGCCCCCTCCCAGGGAACTCCCTGCGGGCAGGACGGCCTCAGGAAGGGGGGCGGCCCCCGTGGCTGTGATCAGGATCGCCCTGGAGCACCCACGCTCCACGCACACCTGCACCCAGGCCTCCTCCAGGCAGGGGCCCATCTGCCCGCCCCTCAGCCCACCAGCCAACCCCACAGACCCTGCCCGAGGCCGGGAGCCAGCTCCTCTCCCGAGGTGGGGCCGGGAACACACAACAGAGCGACAGGCTCTCGCTGGAAACAGCCCTGAAGGGTGAGGTTATGACCAGAGCCAAGGACGGGTTCCTACCGCCTGTCACCCTGAGTAGCTGGGCCGGGACCGTCCAGGAGGCCCGTTGACAGAGGCCAAGCCGGGGCCGTCTCCGCGGCCGGCACACAGAGCACTCTCCACGCCGCTCCATGGCCTCCTGGACCAGTGACGAGACATCCGCCCTGTCCAGCTAGTTCATTTCCCGCTTAAAAAACTGGCACCCAGCCTGGCCCGGCTCCAGGTTGTGGAGCACGATCGAGCCCCAGACGGGCGTTGTCCCATCAATTCAAAGGGACATGACCAGCTTCCAAAACACATACGGTGTCCCCCCAAAAACGTGTGGACACTTAACAGCTGGTAGCTCAATTGACGTTCCTTTCTGTTCTGATTTAACCCATTGGAATTAATAATTATTCAAAGCATGTGTACATTTTGGGGGGACACCCCGTAGGCGGACGTCACGGCAAACGCGGATCTAAAACCGGAGCCAAGTGGGGGAAAGGTCAGCGATCCGCGCACACCTGCAGCCGCCAGCCTCGGATACGGGACAAACACCGCCCGCCGCCCTGGGCACCAAGGCAAACACGCTCCCTGTTTGTCTAAGGGCCGCGGGCCTCGGGAGCAGCCGCGCCCGCCCGCAGCTGTGTGTACTTTTCCAAGCGCACACGCGTGATGCCCCACGTCCTGCACACCGGGCACGGGGACCGCACAGCACGGCGAGGAAAACACGCCCCACGCGCCCCTCGCTCAGGATTCGAGACGTATTTAAAATACACACGACACCATCCAGGCACAAAGGAGCGAAGGGAGGAGCAGTTAGCAAGGGAAGGAGGCGCTTTCGCTGGGGCTTCCTCGCAATGACCTCGACACGGGGGACGACCCAACGCAGCCCCGGCCCGTGTGGCTCAGCCAGCTGGGTGTCGCCGGTGCACCCAAAGGTCTCTGGTTCGATTCCCAGGCAGGGCACCTGCCTGAGCTGTGGGCTCGGCCCCCAGCCGGGGCCGTGCAGGAGGCAGCCCATCGATGTTTCTCTCTCTCTCTCCCTTCCTCCCTCTCTCACATCAAATTTTTAAAAACATTTTTTTAAAAAAAGATCTGAATTGAACTGGTGGAGGGGAGGCTGCAGTGTCTGCGTGGACGTCGCACAG